AAATCACTAACATTATTTCGTCACTTTGTTGGTCTCAAACCATTTCAATAGCCTTCGTAAGCGCGCAGGTGCCAATTGTTCTCGTTGCGAACAAATGTGATCTTCATGAAGACATCATGAATTGGAAGGTGAAAGGATCTCACCAGTACGCCTACACTCGTGCTATTCCTATTGTGGAGTGCAGTGCAAAACGTCATTCAGAGGTGGCTTTTATGATCGTATTGCTCTTTTGTCACATAATTATCCTGGTTTAGGTAGATGACGCATTCAAAGAGCTTCTTGAAAGACTTCGAGATGAGAACAGAATAGGTATCACCAATATGCGAAAGAGAAGGTGATTGCAGGCTTTAAAGGAGTATAACTTATCAAATAGGATCTTTTTAAGCATAAAATCAATTATTTCCAGGCAATCTATGCCTAGTACAAGAGCTTATAGCGGTATTGACGTGGCTGATGTGGAAAAGCTGAAAAGCAAGCAGAAATCGAATTGTGTGATCTCTTGAATTATTCTATTCTGCTGCAACAATCTCTAAATGCGACTCTTCCATTCCATTCCGCTCAAACTGCTTGCCACCATGTACTAGACTCTCTTAGCCTATTAATATATATTCTCTGCGATGTTGTGACCACCAGTTTGTTGATAGTAACGGGTGCAAAAAGCTTTTAAATTAGATTTACATACTCTTATTACCGTAATGTGAGCTTTAAATAAATTATTATCTATTGTACAGTACTTTCAATGTCATTTCATTCACATTGTCTTCAACATGGGTAACTGGTAATCCTCGATCGCTCTAAAAGATATTAATTTGGCAACAGTTGTAAGATTTTTTCGAAAATCGTATTCATATTAGTTCTTGGCGAAGCTCATACACAAACACTTTTTGTGCTTAACGAACAAAAAGTGATCAGCTACAGTAAAAAGGAAATAAGGCCATATGTACGTTTGTTAAGAAATTTGAAAGAGTGACGATGGCAACTAGTCGTTGTTGCAACTCGTCCATCCTCATCATCCATTTTCGCGCTTATGGAAATGGAACCAAGCCCTTTCCATAAAAATCATTCTTTAATAACCCTTATTGAAACAACGGAAATGTTTCCCACCACTTCTTACATTGACGGAAATCGTTGATTCCAAGCAAGTTTGACTGTTCCTTCTTTTTGGACTTAGAAATGCACGGCAACACAAGCGATGCAGCATAAAACATATGTTATGCAATGGGCCCTTCCATTTTCTCTCAGCAGAAGGCAAAAGCTATTCCATGAAGGGAGATTATGAATAATAATTGAAGAGACGAACACGAAAAACGATTGCTATGCAGGCCGCCATTATAGCCATGGAAAGGCATTATAGTATGTTGTCGATAAGAATAGTGCACATATTCATTTATTATTAACTAATGCGAAATAAAAACAAAATCTGGAAGAAAACTGCAAAAGAGGCTGGAAGCCTCCCTGAATTTGATGTAACCAAAAGCTCACTGCTGGGGTCAATATTTTCCCTTTTGCCCTAACAACAGCGGTCTCGTGACGGTCCAGCAGTAGACCCGCTGAAGAAGGAAATATGGAACAGGGGAAAGAAATGAGTAAAGAGCTAGTATCTAATGAGTGTCTGTA